CAGTAACTTTGAGACTCATTAGAAATGACGCAGCAGTAGTAACAAAAACCCACATGGTTACTTAGTGTCCGTTCAGTGTTCTTATGTCCTCCACTGCTTCCATGTTACACAACGGTAGCATCGAGCGATCCAAACTGACACCCATCTGTTAATCAATATTCAGTAAAGACATGTTTGCAGCAGCCTTTCAAGCTACAACACATCAGTGGTTCATTGTGTTTCAAACATTAAATATCACAGGTCACCATTACGAAGGATTTCACTGTTAAGACTATTTGCTTGCACCAGTGCAGACAGCGGTCCACTGTGTGCTTGCATGTCGTGTCCCACAGGTACACCTATTGGAATAACACCAATGTAGGAGCATTGTGTCTCTGCCTGAGAGACTGCAGACAGCATCCCTGAGCAAACACACTGCACAGGAATGCAGCCGACACTGCGTAGGTGCATCTACACACAGCAGGGCTATTTATGTGTGTGCGTAACCACACAAGGAGGGGAGGTATAAGGACGCATCAGTGCTGACTGCGTACAATCAGTGGTCACATTACTGACGGCAGATTATCAGCGGAGTCAAGCATGGATTGAGGAGGATCCCTCAGCTGGGTTTAAGCCGAGGCGAGGACAAGAAGTGACAGCAGCGAGGATCAATATTCCTCTGAAAGCTGGCTTGTGCTTCGTGTGATTTACGTGTGAGGGTGTCTCGTGCAGCACGGGCTCCATGCGTCGTAAAGAAAATGCATCTTTCTAAGAAAAACGTGTCCTTGGTGGCAGCACTAAAGACAAGTTGATGATGATGAAGGTGAAAATGAGTTTCAATGGGGAACTTCTGCAGTTCGTGTAAAGACACAGTCTTCTTCAGGGCAACAAGGTGAGATGACACCAGACGATGACAATGAAGTAGAGGGGATGGAGTTAACTGGTCACCGACTGGTCAACGAGAGCGATAAATGGGTCTAGCCTGGTACCTTGCGCTTGCGTTCAGCCCGTTCCCGGGAGCGCCTTCTCCTCTCTCTGGCTTTCTCCAGAGCCTTCAGATCCGGAGGTTGGTCCATTTCAGACCTGGCCTTCTTAATGTGAGCAGCAGCGTGAGCCATGGCTGTCCTCTCACTGTTTGCACACGCAGAAATCTACAGCTCTTAGATCACTCAGTGGTCCTCTCAGAACGCTAGCCTCATTAACAGAAGAGACCAGCCGTCCAACGAAACAGCCCCCTCTCCTCTCCAGGTGACAAAAACGGGAAGAAAACAGTTGTGGAATCCTCCACTGTCTCTCTGCAAACACTGTGAGTGGCACTAGCAAGCCTGCCTCCCTGCTGCCTGTATAACTGCATCTGAGCCCAGGATGGAGAGAGAGGAGGGGTTGCCTGGCACACGCCACCAAGAGGTAAGCTGGAAGACCAATAGAGAAGCCGGGAAGAGGCAGAGAGGCAGGAGGAGAGCGCTGCCCCTCCCTCCACCACTCGGGCTGCAGAGGGAGCAGCAGATTCTAAGGGAGCTGCTTTGGACCACACTCTCATTATACGACCCCCCTCTGCCAGTAAACCAGAAGGGGAGGTAAACGCAGGGGGAGGAGCTGGTAACAAGGAATGGGAGGAGATACAGAACACGGAAGTCAGTGTGTGTCCTTTGGAGAAAGAGCAAGGGAGGTACCATTTCAGCAGAGGGGGGGGGACCTGCCCCTGTCAGCAAATGGTATAGACTGCTTGAGCAAACACATGCACACACAGAAAAATAAATGATAAAGATGCAAAGCATCCTTTTATACATGCTGCTGTGATGCAATGCAGAGTGTTAGCACCACTGACTCGTGTGAGTAATAATAATAATTAATGTTCGCACACTTTTCATGTTTAAACGTAAATAATCCTCATTAACACGAAGCATCGCCTCCACCGCGACCTCACCCTTTTTGCTTTTTAACACAATGGCGCCCCCTCATGTTCTGTCCTAACACTGCAGTGAAAAGTGACAGTATGATACTCCACAGACAGTCAAACGTACACTGAGGTTAGAGACGATGTGAAACACACGATCTCCTGCCCCCTTGTGAAAAGAGTGGCTCCTAACCTGCTCAGCGTGTTACTCACAATAATTGTATTAGCAGTGGGCATCCAGCAGTGCGGAGATTCATAGGAAACCTGGAGTAAATCTGCCTGGTTACTAATCTTCTCCAAATCTCCCCCAACAGAGCGGAGGATAATCTGCTGAGGGTCTCATACTGGATACACGCAGCTGCTGAGAATCCTCATCGTCAAATATACAAAAACACACGTTCCTTGATGGACTGTGGGAGCTCGTCAGGCTCTGACCCTGACAGAGCTGTGACCTCTGACCTCTGTGAGTCTCAGGAGGCGGCAGGTCGGTAACTGCTTCAGAGAAGGCCAGGCTTTGAAGCTGTGCCACAGCCATGTGTGATTATGAACGCCAACATGTGCATCTTACAGTGGTTCAGTTGGAGCTGGTTATCTACTGTGTGTGTTTACATGTGTACATTTGTGCATTTGTTGCTGCCTTGCTCAGAGGCTCTGGGGCTTTAACTCATCACTGCTGCTAAAACAGAGGAATGAATCTCGTCTTTAAACACGCCTGCATTCACTGACAGATGTTTGGTAATAAAGTTATTAGTTGTCTTGTAAACAGCACTTTGTGGTAATGAAATGTGTATATGAATAAATAAATGTGCTGCTGCTCAGACCGAGCTGTGCTGTGTGAGAGTAAATGTTCCAGCTGAAGCTAAAAGACAGATAAATCAGACTGAGCAGGTCCAGTTACAGCTCTGAGTTCAACAGCAGTAACTTCATGAAATATTCATTTTCACTGGTTTCCATGTTATTAATTTCATTCCTTTATATACTGTTGCCATTATTGACATATTTGAAGAAGCTAATGTTCTTAGTTTGAACGTCACATTTTCATGGCGTTGCCTTCATGTGGGCAATAATTATTATTAACAGCTACGCCGTTCTGGAACGAGATACGCTGAGCTGTTGGCATCATACAGGCAGAAAGAACGGACAAAAGAAGAACGTGGAAAACACCAAAGTTGGAAGAACAGCTTCCTAACTTTCTACACATTAAAGCACACATTCTTGTGCTTGAATAGAAACACATCTGACTTTCACACAGATGATTTCAGTCTGATCTGTAGACACAAACAAATGAGCGGTCCCGCCCCTGGCCAGTCACAAGTTCAGGGTGTTGTTTGCAATTTACAAAGTAGAGCACAGAGTTGAACTGAGACGCTCCCTTGTGCTAGAAAGGTGACCTATGAGTAGGGCTGCCACGATTACGTCGACTAGTCACAATTAGTCGACTATCAAAATCGTCGACGACTGATTTAATAGTCGACGCGTCGTTTGAAGCTTTGTAAGATCACAAAGGACGCAGGAATAAGTAGCAGGATTTAAGAGTGTAATAACGGACTGAAACAGAAGATGGCAGCACTGCATGTACAAGGATGCCAGCTGCCGTTAAACCCCGAAGAAGAAGCTGTGTCCCAGAATTCATAGCGCAGCTAGTTAGTTTTAATATTACTCTTATTATTCTTTCTGGGTCACAAAATAAACGTTTAACATATTTTCATTTTGTTATATTTTAGATAGCAAGGAGTTTAGTAAACTTCACCGAAACAATCTGCAAATTTCATTAAAACTTAATAAACTATCTTGTCTTTATTTTTAGTTAGCACAGACCTTACACACTTGCCGTAAGCTAATGATAGTTATATAAGAGCAGATGCTGCTGGTGCAATAAGCTGTACGTTTTACGTCCAATGGTGGATGATCTGATTAGGCGACTAATCGCAAAAATAATCGTTGACCAGTCGACTATCAAAATAATCGTTTGTGGCAGCCCTACCTATGAGTGCATCAAATAAAGTGTAACGTGGAGGATTTTAGCTCCTTCATTTTCCTCATGTGGCCGACAACCACGTTGGAGTCACGTGAGTCAGAGGAAATACGTTAACTTATCATTTTTCACATCAGAAACACTCAGAAAACCAGATTGTGCCAAACAACAGTGGAAAAGAGGAGGACACAGGAGTGCAGAGGCCGGGGGCCCAGTCCACATCCACCAGGTCTTCATCCAGGACAGATCTGACTCCAGCATGCTGTCATTTCTTCATATCTAAGTTTGACTTAGATTGAGGAAAAGAGAGATTACATTTAGGTTGAAACAACCTTTTCTCAAGTCCAACCTTCCTCAGCTAGCACACAGCACAGAGCTGTCTCACTGAAACCTTTCAAAAAGAAATCAGGTAAAGAAAAAGTGTTCATCGTCATTAAATATCACCTCAGTGTCGTCTGTGTCAGTGCTTAATGGAGGCTGCTTAGAAACAATGTTACCACCAAGTACCTTCAAGCCTTCGTTTACAACAAGATTTATTTCACACTGAGCCTCGGTTTCACAATAGTAATGCAGCGGCTGCTTTCTATCAGCTATTGCCTAGCAACAAGGGTGTGGGGCATTGTCATGGTGACAGTGAAGAAGGGGAAGGTAGGCTCACCATGGGGGGGTCTGGGATAAGCACATCCCTGGAGTTTCATTAACAGACTCTCCTGCGCTCACACAAGCGCAGCATAATGAGAAGCTGTGTTTGTGGCTAACACGGAGCTTCCTGGTTCCTTTGTCTGTGTGGAAGATCATCAGAACAATCAGGAGTCCTCGTCTCACCGCACAGCGGACACAAAAGGACAATCACGAATAAAGAGAGCGAGCGGGTGCGCCGAGGGCGCTCGATTCATCGGTCCCATTGAGCCAAATGAGCCGTCCCACAATTCCCCTGAGGCGGTGATGACATCGCCCTCCCTGCTTCACACATACTTCATCTTTCCCGTGTCCCACTTTCTGCTCTAATGTGGCATTAGAGAGCTGTGCGAGTAAGAAAACCTAGCTGGAGAACAACCCCGTCCGACATCAGAGCCTCAACGTGTTCCACTCGATCGACGGCCCTGAACACAAACACGCCTCAAAGAGCTGAAGTCCAGTTTACACATCGAGAGCTGCCGACACACGGCAGCTGCTCACAGCAGTTAAGCCTCCTGTGTACGTCGTCTCCAGTCTGAACCTTAAATGCAGAGTTTGCTTTCACTCTGAGGGAACCACCACACTCATTAGAAAGCCACGACTGCTACAACTCTGCCAACCTCAGCTTTATAATAAAGTCTGGTAACATGGTTATGTGCATGCTTACACAGGCAAAGCAAAGCAGTTCAGCTGGACAGGAAAATGATGAATTAAATTCATAATTAGTTAGTTTGTTTTATTTCCACAATAAGCAGCTGCAGGCCGAACCCTGGAGCTCTGTCTGTGAATGAGAACCACTAAACGTTCTGCATTACCTTTATCAGCATTAGTTTACATTGTTTTAAGTGTAAATACACAAAGTTTTACTAGAAATTGACTCTGATTTAAGTTGTTTTATGCCCAACTCTAAGCTAGTTCGTGCTATTTGAACCAACAGTCAGTGCCACAGGTGAAGAATCCACAGCATTAAATGAAAGACTGCAGGTCTTTGCACTGATTAAAGAAGAATTCAGTTCCAGTTTAGTACCTGTCATAAAGCTTAGTGCCACTGTCCCAGTGCACCACCAGCGCTTACCTGGCCTGCTGCTCCTACCACCATGCCTGCACTCATGGGTGCTCCAGAGAGGCCACAGCACGCCGGGGTCAAATATATCCACCGTGTCCCGGCCACTCGGGGTGTCCGAGCCAAGACAGAAGGGGAAACGAGGGGGGGAGGCAGAGCGGTCCTGCCGACTCTGTGAGTGGATTAGTGTGTAACACGCTAGAGGTATTAACACACTGCAGCTGACATGCACGCAGACACAAACGCATGCACGCACACTGCAGGGCGTGTGCATTCTTACAGGGGATTACGGGGACAAAAATAGAGGAGACTCCTCTGCTGACCTAGAATCACAATGTTGTATGAAGACACAATGGAGAAGAGACTAGCCACGCCCACTCCCACCACACACACGCACGCGCACACACACACACACACACGCACACACACACGCACGCACGCACGCGCACCCACACAGCACGCACACGCACGCACACACACGCACACACACACGCACACACACATTGTGTAAACACAACTTGTTGCAGGATCACTTGCAGACAGAGAAGCGTTATTTGGTTCGTTCACAACTATTTTCTAATCATGTGCCTGAAAAGCAAACCTGCAAATCTTCTTTGGCACTGAAGGTCACTGCAGGGCGTGGCTACAGACACAGCAGAGCACCTATGGGCCGCAAAGGTTTTAAAAAACCATCACTTACTATGATATTCATGAGAATAAAACCGCCAACATACAGACAACAGATGTA